TAATAATAATAATAATAATAATAACAATAAAAATAATAATATAGATAGTTAAGGCATTCTACACCTTTGAATAGACATTTGTTAGTGACACATAAAATAATAATAATAATAATATAAAAGTTCCACTTTATTCTTGTAAAGTATTACCCATACTGAAAGTTTAAATAAACAAAGATAATAATGAAGCATCATTATACATTAATAATAAAATGGGAATTAGTAAATGGGAATATCAGTAGTGCCATAGAGTGTCTATTCATCCACTGGATTATAATTGGAATTTAGAAATTGAACTTTGTGGAAGGAGAAAAACTGGAGACTGAATGGAGGAAAAGCCTTAGAAGCACAGAAGAGAACAAAAACAAATCCACTTGCATACAACACCAAGTCCAGGAATCAAATTAGGGTTGTCTTGGTGAGAGAGGAACGCTCTCACCGCTAAACCACCCGTGCTTCCAGAAAATGTTATAACTCTCTAAATCAAGTAAAAAATCTAATAAAAAATAAAAGAATCAGAAAAATTTGATGTTTTATTCACTTTACCAGGGTTATAGAAGAAATGGATCAGTATTTGTGAGATTCTGTTCCACCATGACCAAATCCTCCAGGGCCAAAGAGAGCTGCATAGCATGGTTTGTGGCAGTATGGCTTTCCATTTTTCTATAAAGTATTATTCATCATAGGTCATATTAATAATATTCATTATGCCTTAATCATAGGGACCGATTATCATTTCTTTACTGGGGAGGGGGTGGGGGATAGGCCATTAAAGAGAATGAGGCTGGGGGGAGGGGGGTGGGGTAACCAAAAAATTTGAGTCACATACCACTGTTACATTACACAAATTATGGAAAACGAGGGATAGGCTAATTTTTTCGTGCAACAGAGGAAAGGAACGGTCAGATTTCTAATATGGGTTAGCAAGTGAGTCCTGTCTTCCCTCCCTGATGAAAAGTCAATGCTCCCTATTACCACCTGCCTTATGCATGTCCTTTTGTATTATAACTATTATCTTCATTGCTATTATCATTGGTACCACACAATATGTCACCATCATTTATTATAATTGCATTTTTATGATGACTGCTTGATTTTCATGGGATATATAGATCCATAAAGTGAAGAAAGAGGGAGAAAGCTTAGCCATTAAAGAAGCCTCCATGAATTGGAGAAATTATGGCTGAAAAACTTCCATGTTTGAGTATCCTCTATGACTGCATGGAAGGGGGATCATGGCCCCTTGAGCCCACCCCTAAATCTGCCTAGGATTTTGTGACAGACCAACCTCAGCATGACTTCCAGCAGACAATGTCTTCTTGCATTTCTCGCATTTCAGGCATGGTCGGTGCCAGTCCTTTCCCAAGGAGGTCACCTTTTCAGCTAAGAAAAGCAGAGCAATTACTTTATAAATGTCATGCTATGAGATATGATTGGGAAGAATTTCCACCATTCATGTGAGCAGAGATCCGGCAGGCCTCTACCCTTCCCTCCCCTCCCCCAAAAAACATTAGCTCGAACAATAAGCAGGCCCATAATATTTAATTGGGTGTTGTCAAATTTCTTTTGTCAATAGAAAGAAAAGCAAACAAATCCATCAATTATTTACCAACCATGAATTATCAATCTTGTTTCTAAACTTTAGAAAAACGCACATAGGGATTTTGGTTTTTCTTTATGCGAATAACAAACGTTTCTACGGAATAGGATTTTTGCGAGGATTTCGTTCAGTCGAGATTCAAAAACAAAGTTTTTGGGGTTCATTTTTCGGTAACTAGTTTACCAAACATGCTCAAACTCGGTACTAAAACTTCAAGACAAACAAAGCACCACTCGATTGGATTCCAACTGAAAATGCATGGTTTTTACTCCACCAGAAAGTCAAAATATTGTGGTATAAAATGAATGCTGAAGTTTGCAACACAAGATTGGCTCGCAATACATAAGTTTCCCGCTAGCATTTAATTACCACAAGAGTTCGGGAGTATTTACACTATTCCCACTAGAGGAGAAAGTTACAATTTAGTACTTTATAATTCGAATTCCTGGGCGAATTTTAAGAGAATTAAGTAAAACGTGAGGTCGACAAGAAAGACGAAGCTTAACCTAGAGAATTTGGCGCGAGCGTCATATAAAGTGCAATTTTTCATTTCACTTTCAAATTTCAGTCTCATTAGAGAAATATTTTGAATACTTTCACAATCTTACCAAAGTAGACCTCTTTGTTGCAATTTGGGCATTTAGGCATCTTGGCTCAGGCTGAGTAGATTCTGGCAATTTAGGAGTTGTTCTGTAGATCGCGTGAAGAGCGAAAAGACAACTTACTTGAAAGGCGTCACAATTTATACAAAATCGTACAGTGTCACACAAGAGGGGTTGTTGACAAGTCATGCAAAAACAATACAAAAATAAAAAAACATTCATTTTAAAATTAATATTGCTCGTTATTCAAGGAATACATACAGCTTGTAAGAAATAATCACAAAGATTTTACAGATTTTAAGCAAATTTTAAGGAAAAAGGGATAGTTTTAAATGAAATTTTTATAATCCTTCAGATTTACATAGGTTCTGGAAGCCTCTAAGCAGTAATCTGCTTCATAGCTTAGCTTCTTTTGATTCGGGGGGAGGTACTTCAACTCGGTAACCTTTAGTTTCTACTCTAAAACGTTTCCTCTATGGTCGGGTATGTATCAATTAGCTTCATTATATAATTATTTCATTGAAAATAAAATTGTCGGGGGTGGGGTGGGGCGGCGGGGGAGGGGGTGGGAAGAAGCTTGGAGCTGTTCTGGATTGTCTTTGTCGTTTTTTACATTCTTTCCATTCTATATTTTCAAAACTTGTTAGATTGCACACTGCGTATGCTATTTCCGCGGTTATTAACCCCGTTCCTTGTTGGGGCTTCCTCTTCATTCAAAAGCAAGACCAGATGTGAATAAAAACGTTTTCTGAAGGAGAGTAACCTAAGAGGAACCCCGGATTTAACGTAGAGAGAGTCTAAAGCCTTTCATGATTCACAAGAAAAGCGCTGAAAATATTCAAAATCTTGTATAGCACATATTGAGAGTATGTGGACCGCGTGGCACTAATGAAATAGTAGAAGATAATATAGGTAAGTTGTAGTGTATGTACGTTCCCAAGCACTACAACTTACCTATATTATCTTCCACTATAGCACATATTGTCGTCGGAAGCTCATGGGCCCGGTTGTACGAAGCCTGGATATAGCGCTATCCGGCGGAAAAATCCTTATCCAGTGGATAAGTCGATGCTGTTATCCAATAATCCACCGAATAAGTTTGGTCCGTCGGATAGCGGTATCCAGGCTTCGTACAACCGAGCCATGGAATAGCGCAGCGCACTGATTCTAAAAATAGCTTAAAGATTCGGACAAACATTGCATTCTGTTTAACCGCTACGAGGATTAATACGAACCGATTTTATTATTTTTACTTAATTAAAGTTACAATAATAACCCATGTAAACTAAGATCAACTGCGATCGGCTGTGAAAATTATCTACTGAAAGTAAACTTGTAAGTTTGTTTGTCCGAATTTCGCCTTTGTCTTCGTTTTTATGACGTCACGGCTCCGCTGCGCTATTCTTTCGGGTGGTTATTCATTCTAACCTTCCCGCAAGTAGATTAAAAACTTTGTGCCCCTGGTTAATGCATTTATAAGTCAATATATTTCAAACAATAAAACGAATCTATCTTTACGAGCATTTTAAAATTCATTGGTAAAATAGCCTCCACACAATGTTACGAAGCAGCGCAGAGCAACACCCCCTCCCCCGGTAACGGGCCGGGCCTTGATTTCGTGACGCCAAAGATTACCATAATAATAACACACCACACGTCAAGACAGGCATCAAAGCCTACAAGATATCCATATTTAGTCATGTCTTGGAAAACAGTTATTTATAGGCACAACGATGCGCAACACAAAATATACAAATTTACATATCTCTTTCTTTCGAAAGCTTGTGGAATTTAGCATCTAAATGGTATGTATCAAGCGGGCCTGTCGTTGTAGTCTGATTTGAAAGCACAGGATGATAACGGATTATCAGTATAATCAGTATGGATTAGTTGCTTTCAAATTAAGTAGCTCTTATGGGCATTCCAACGTCAGCCTCTAGAAAACAACATATCTGACTTGGTTCAAATTGTTTGAAAATCTTTTATTCTTCCAGCTGTATAGCTGACAGACAAAAAAGCAAAGCAACCCAAATGATATGGTTTTGTTCTCTGTAACTATTACAGCTATTCTCAATCACACGCGCCCTCTAGCGATTGTTTCTATCGCGACGAAGAAGGTTTTGAGAAGATATAACTAGCTAAAAACTAGTGTGAGAAGGTTTTGGTTGACGTCAATCATAAGGCGTTTCCATAACATTGTCGGAAAACACAGAGCTATAAGGGTACGTTCCTTAGAATGCCATGGAAACGTCTTGATTGACGTCCACCAAAAGCTTCTTCGTCACGACAGAAAGTGAATCGCTCGAGGGAGCGTGTGATCGAGAATGGCTGTGATGGGCACGGCTCAGGTGGGTAACTTTAGTTACAGAAATGATAATTAACTCAATGTGGGTCGCCGTTTTACATCACGTCATTACCTGTGGCATTTGGAATGTTCATCAGCTGATCGAATGACAAGTTTTGAAAAGAATTCTGTTTGGCTGACAGCACATGGTGGTCAGTGTTTGATCACCATTTGGAAGAGCATATTTCGAAGACTTTTATCAGCTGTTTGAAATCCATCCATTAATCGATTTTAAGAAACACCTACAAAATACTCGAAGAATATTAATGTGGGTATGGAGGTATGACTTTAGGAGTAGTCTAATATGGCTTATTTTGAAATCAATAAATCAACTATAATTTATAATATCTGAAAAAATTATAGTTATTCATCAGTTATACCGCAAAGTTCCTGTATAATATATAACAGCTGTTTTGTCCTTTTTTTGTTGTTGAAAACGTCTAGATTAAGGGGGCTCTTCATTATTATCAGGGTATGGAAATAAAAACATTTTAACCCACCCCCTCCTTCCCCTTCCCCTAGGACACTTGCATTACTGCCTCATTTACTACCACTACCAGACTCCCTTGCACACTTTCTTTTGTTCAGTCAGTTAGTAAAAGAATCAAAAGACAGAAACACCAACATGATTAACGAAGTGTGCAATTGATGATACAGACAATTTTATAATCAATACTTTTTTACTTCATTTGATGTAATAAATGTTACATGTGCTATGAAAATCATTACATTCATTAAAGTGTAAGTTTGAGAATCACTCATTACGATATTCGTCACATCTTTGTTGTTAAATAAAAACATTTATATAAGCTATAGATTAAGTGCACTATTTGGTTATAATATATTAAATCACATGTGCCAAGTAATAATATTCAATATATTAATCTAATGTAAACTTTAGGGACCATTCTCTTTTAGAAGATGGACTAAAGGTTTGTCAAATTTCCCATCTCCAGTTGTAATCAAAAACCATCACATCAAAATTTTCCGAAAAGCTGTTTGTGGCATCAGAAAGTGAAAGCCCTCCTACTGCCCATTGCCCTTCGTAATCCCTAAAACAATTCAGGACATGGCTAACAGACAGATTGAATTTGAATTTAGCAAATTAGGTTTTATACTGAAAAGAAAACTAGAGAAACTTGTGAGAAAAACTGGCTCTTACTTGATGTTATGGTGTCCCAGGCTGACCCGCGTTGGCCTGGGACAGTAGCTCAGGGGTGACCCAGTGTCCCACCTGGTTCAACAGACTAAGGTATAAGCTAAGTATATAGAGATATTTGGTGTCCCAGGCTGACCTGAGAGAATATATAGAGAATACCTTTGGTGCCTAAACACCAGATGGGAAATATAAACAGAAAGAGCTACCTTGGTGCCTTGCAACACCAAGTAAGAGCCGAAAAACCTTTGCATCAAAGACTGAAGCAATGTTAATCTAGCAAAGCAAAGTACTCCAGGAATCATAAGTCCCCAACTTTCTAAAAGTGAATGGTTTCTGTGCCCTTGAGTAAGAGCTGTGATTCAATCAATGTTCAAGAAACACTAACCAGAAAGTATTTTATATATTATGACGTTGTTGTTTCAGCCCATTATGGCACAAATATCATGTTTGTTATCTGAAAAATAAGAAAGGATCAATACTTAAGACAAATGGTTAATTAAATGCACACGCCAGCTTCCTATCAAGGCTTGCATGTAACTGAGTGTAAATAATGGAAATTAGTTTGAATAGGTTCAATCGGGAAATTAGGATATAGCTGTAAGGTTTCAAAACTGAACACATTCACGTTATAAGATTCCAGGACATCTTAGTTGGACTTCTTAGATACGGGACTGTTCATTTATTATATGGGATTGGAGGGGTAGGGAATGAGAATTATTTGGTAACCCATAAACAAGAAATCTGAACCCCCATTTTGTTGTTGTTGCATTAAAACATGGCCCTTTCCTTATTCCATTCTTTTTATTGTAAAAATGCTGTTTAACTTATGGATTGCTTTTTGTTTGGCTTCCCCTTTTGATCCTGCAGTGACTTTTTTATAACCCCTCCCCACATGCATCTTGGAACTGTCAGACGGCACAATATAGATCTTTTCTGGATGTGCTAGAGTTACAGAAAACAGTGGCTCCAAGTCAAGTAGGACTTGATGTTAATTAAATTTACTGTATTTTATCAAGACCAACTTTAACTTGGATCCATTCTATTTTTGTGGTCACTCAAGCAATTTTTCTGGAAAAGTCTATTAAAAGATCTTTTAAAAACCTTCCTGGTAAAGTAAGTTTTGATGGATTCAAATCGGAAACTTCCTGACATTTTCTTGAAAACTTTGTAGATACCAATATTGTCATGGCAATGGAGTGAACATGTGACAACATTTCTGTGCATACAAGCCTTAATAAAATTAACAGCCGGCCAGTCAATCAATCAACATGATTGGAGTGGCAAAATTAGCTTTATCTTGGTCATACCTTTCCTTGCTCAATGTTACTGTGGTTTTTGATATTGGAAAACTCAGACATTTAAACAGCTTGTTGCAAAATAATTGGTTTATTACTGCCACCAGGCAAGAACATAAAAGGTACCGACTGACTGATTATTTTTGATTGACGCCATCAAAAAAAGAAAATTCAGTGATCAGCTTGTAACACTCGAGTTCGCAAAATATCAAAAACTGCAGAAATTGCAAAAATGACTGGCAAAGCATACATATGACTGAAAAAATTCCAATACTGGCCATACATTGTGACCAGCTGTTATTAAAGCCCTGTGGTGCTATTGAAAAAGCGTAGCAAAATAAGAAAGCACTAAGCATATTTTTTTTAATCCTCAGAGAGATACATACCTGAAACTCTTTATTTGGGTTGATATGCATGTGATTCAGTGCCGCCATGGCCAAAACCCTTGGGTCCAAACAAAGCACTGTAGCATGGAATGTTGCAGTATGGCTTGCCATCATGCTGTTAATCAACAATCACACACACAAAAAAAAATTAAGTTGCTTTTCTGGTTATTAGTGGTTTTGGTACAGCTTTAGAATAACCGGCCATGCACTTTGTTTTAGAATGGAGCAAGTATTTTGAAAATGATGCAATAATAGAAGAAAAATATAGGGATTAACATGTGCATATCATTTGGCCAGGTATTCTGAAGTTATACCAAAGAATAAAGAAACTGGTGTGGTACTTCATAAGACATAATAATTCCATTCTATTATTTTCATTCTTTTTTTCATTTGACTATTAGACATCAAGTATACAGTTTGTGGATGTATTAATATATGAACAAAACCGAAAAAACTGGTCATAAATAGATCAAAAAGGTACTAAAAATTCCTCAAATCACTCAACTTAAGAAAGCTAAAAGTCTCAGTGGCATTACCTGCAATCAGTTATAGACCCTGAGTACCAATGAAAATAAAGGATTTGTTAATAAGCCATTCTATTTCAGGCTTACTAATCGATAAATCATTGCTTTTAAATATTTTTTTTCAAAATTGCTTTACAAGCATTTCACACAAAAAGGCCAGTGCATGGATATTTATTTTATCAATTTCCTACTTTTTGTCCAACGATAGCTTTAATCAATTTTATTAATTTAAAAGACTATTTATTATTTATATAGTCAATGTCATTAACGTTGTCCACAGAAAAAAGACATTTACACATTTACGCATTTAGACTAAAAGATATATCACGTGTTTCATTACATGTATGTATTCTTTGCCTCGTGTGCGTCAGCCTGAACTTTAAATGTAAAATTCAACTCGTGAATCGAAAATCCAGAATGTCCTGACCATTAAGTGAGGATTTAAGATGGAGAATGGTATTTCAGCGTTTGTTTTATGCCAGAACCTTCGAGGAAACACGTGATATTACTTTTAGTCTAAATGTCTAAATGTCTAAATGTCTAATGTCTTTTTTTTGGTGGACAACGTTTATGACATTGACTGTATATGGGAAGAACTGATGGCTAAAAATCCAGTTTACAAACTTCTTTTTTTCTTCTAGTCCTTGCATAATTTGCAAGGTTTGCAGTGCAATTAAACAGTGAAATAAAATCAAACTAAATACTAACTAATAGTATCTATTTAGTGACTAATAGTTGCTATCACTCAAACAGAATATTCATCATACAAAGACAAATACACAAGAGACCATTTGTGTCTTTTGTTAAATAAATGTTCTGGTTGAGTGATAGAGTGCAAATAATATACCTGTGAAATAGTAAGGATGAAATAGGAGATAGTGCTTAATTAGACAAAACATAGGAATTCAGTGAGGCATGACAAGGGCACGGGCGTTTACTAGAGCAACAACTCAATACACAAATGAATAGATACGAAAATGCGAACATGTCAAATTATACAAAGGAAAAGCATGTACAACAAAGTATTGTTTCAGTTTTTGTAAATGTGTTTAAAAATATTTTAAAATGCACGCCCTTGAGTAGCACACGTGCACTAGTTTACCCGTCATGGCTTGCCTATTTTAATTAATTAGACTTAGGCAACCAATAGCACAAAGTTAGTAATTAGTTAGCTAGCTACCCGGGGGGGTACTCCCATATATGGACTATACGGGGATGATCCGCTGAACWGGGTATGGTTTTTCGAGCTTCTTGTCATAAACAGGGTAAGCAATTTCACTCAAGTTCCAAGTTCTTCCTGAGTTTCCTGTCATATTCAGGGTTTCTACTTTCGTATCGACCAAAACTGGTTATTATGGTCGTAAAAAAACGATACGTGAGATGACATGATAATAATTGAAACGGGAACTCAGTGCAATTAATTATATCTTTTGTCATAAACAGGGTCTACAAATTTGTTTTTTTTTTGTCATAAACAGGGTACCCCTTTCAGAATCCCAGCGGAACACCCCTACCCAAATTCTGCCGGAGTACCCCCCCCCCCCGCCCCCCGGGGCTAGCTATCTATTTCATGGGTATATTATTTGCACTCTAGTGAGTATTAGTCACTAAATAGATACTGTTAGTTAGTATTTAGTTTGTTTTTATTTCACGGTTTAATTGCATCCGCTCTACAATAACCAAGGCCACCCAAACAAATTGTAAATCAAATAACAAATCACATTCTTGATGTCTAATAATAGATGAATTGATGAATTCTGGAAATGAACTGCTTTTTGTTGATTCCTGATCATACACACACTTGTATAAAATAAAATATAGGCCTTTTACAGATTCTATTGTTTAAATACTCAAACGTGATTGGCTAATTTGTATGAAAATCTGTCTGTTATGGCCTTGGTTGGTATGGTCGCAATGTAAAATTCTAGAAATTTAGTAAAAAAAAACAATTATTGTGCAAAATCTTATGTTCCCTACTTTTCAAGAACTAAATTCAGTAAGTANCCCCCCAAGCCCGCATAATCCACCCCCCCATTCTTCAAAGTTTCAAAGTATATATATCAGATTCCCCCACCCACCCCAAGTGTAAAGTAACTGTCAAAGACCAGAGTATCTTGCATAATTCACAGATTTTCAAAATGTCGCAAGGTCAAAAGCTGATCAGAAACAGCAAGTCAGCCTTACACGAGTGTTCCAATCATAATGCAGAAAATGGACTCAAAGATCAATTTAGAAAATAATTGGGATAGTACGCGTGCTACGATTGGTCGAAAACTCCATGTTCGATGAGGGTATCAAAACGCGTTTTGATCAGAGTATAAAACTGTTTTTGATCTGTTAAATAAAGAGTAACTTACCAACACTAATCGATTTATTATTTGTAGCTAATCCCAAACGTACACGATAATCGAAAAAAAACTAAATACTTATTTGTAAATATTTTCTTTCCAGTTTTTTTTTTCAACACCACGAAGTAAGTGAGACTATATATCTATATTTCTATCTATCTTTATATCAGTATGTGTATGTTGTTGACCCTATTTACCTCTGCATGACCTCCAGAAGACAATGTTTTATTACACTTTTCACATCGGAGGCACGGACGATGCCAATCTTTACCAAGAGAAGAAACTTTCTCAGCTAAAAAACAATAAAAGTGGTCGCATAACTTCAATCCACATATACAAATCTCCGTACAAACAACGACAACACGGTTAAAGAATTATTTGTACAAGGAACAAAGGAACAGTTTTCGTGAGGAGTTAATTGCGCGCGCCAAGGTCTGCTATAAGCTTATAAAGCTTATAACACATAAAACGTGCTCTTGAATCAAGACCTTATAGTCCCAAAATCTAGCTTCCTAAGACCATCCAAAGCTACCCTGCTTCATTAGATGTTGAATATTCCGTCTTTAAGTGCTAGAATAAATTGAAGCTCCAGAAACGCGACAAAAAAATACCAAAAAAACCCAAAACAAAAACGTGTTCTTTTTCTATCCATCGATTTTCAACCCGGTGTCAATTTTTTATCGTGTTTTTTTTATTCTGCAAATCCAAATTAAGAATTTCCAAATACTTACCAAAATAAACTTCTTTTTGGCATCTTGGACACTTTGGCATGTTGATCTGGTAACCAAGGAATAAAGGAATAAGGAGTTATTGAAGGATTCGAATCGTGATTGTACTTTCCGCTTCAAGATGGCTACCGGCTGCTTCAAAGCATATGGCTACTTCTCAGTCACACCCCACACAAATATGCACAAATATGATAATCTATTTACGTGTTTTGACGAATCAAATGAGCCACTTTTACTTTTCAGAAACCGCCTTTAGGAATTTTGATAATTTATCCAGTCTTTTAGGGGTTTTGGTGAACCTAATGAAAATATATGGTCAGTGAAAGAATGTTGTTCACTTACTAGGTTTTTAGCGTAGCTTTGTGTCTAAACGATGTAGAAATATGGATAACACAAGAAGTTTCTTGAAAAGAAACGCCTAGCAGACCTGAACTCAAGTGTCTTGACTTTTTAGTGAAGAAAATGGCATGTTTCATAGAGGGGGACTGGGGAGAGAGGTTGTTTTGCATATGGCGGGAAGCAAGTTGTTATCTGTCACGCTAGTTTTGTAGAAGTCCGATTTAGCTCCCTCTCCATTAACTCAGGAACATGATAAAATGAGGATATGTTTCAGGGGCAGTTTTAACGTATCCAGGCAAAAGGAGTGGAGCTTAGAAATCTTAAAAAGAAGCTATATCATACTGCGTTTCTTGGTAACAGAAACCCTTGGCGATCATTAGGGACCGATCGTTTATTACGTCCCGGGGGGTTGGGGATTGGTGGTTTCTTCGCAAAAAAATGAAATGAAATTTGTACCCCCTCTAAAATCATTAAATAGAAAAAGTAACCCTCCCCCTTCAACACTACTAAATACGTACCCCCCTCCCAAATTCGGCCATTACAAGAATGTACCACCCAATTTTTAGTGGTTTAAAAAAAATGTATCCCCCCTGTATTTCCACTACCCCTACTACGCAAATAACCAGATGACTGACTCTTACTGAGAGCTATAGCCCTTGAGATTATTAATCCGATTTTATTCACAACATCTTCAGCGCGATAAAAAAGCATGGCCCATGACAAGATGGAACTTTACATAAATATTTCTCTTTGAATCTTTATAATTTTCGTTTTCTATTACGCGATATTGCGTGTTGCTTCGAAGACTCCAAGGGATACTATAGTTCAAGGCTGTATGGTCATAACAACTGAATAACTCAAGAATCTATTATAGTTTTGGTAGAAGTGGGAAAATATTGGTATTGAGCCTGTAAACGGCTTCTGGTTTTTATATCCTTTAAGGTTGCGGTATATCTTACATTGTGTTCAACAACACGCGCGACTTTTCGCGCCGACAAAATGGGCTTTTTAAGACCGCCAATCGTGTTTCCATGATATTCCATAGGCGCGTATTACGGAAAAGACATCCACCAAAACATGCTTTGGCGACTCCAATACCGTGCGCACTTGAAAACAGTAACTTCTGCTTTGTCTATATTGAAAGCAATGGATTCAGAGCCATAATATTCTGTATACTTTCCCACCGCTACGAAATTAGGGTGCTCGCCACTTACATGAAAAAAAACTTATACGTTTATCAATTATTTCGAGGAAATTGAGAAAAACTCGATCTTCTAATTTTATAAGTATCTGTCACGCCCACTTAACGCGATGTACCATGGGATATCTTGAGGGCAACAACACCCTCCCCATGATAAGTTGCGCAAGGCAAGAAAGTTTGCACGCGCCGCTGAGACTTAGAAAGGCTATCAAGATTGTTCCGGGGTTTTTCCACCGAGAGGTTGCGCACAGTTAGAAGATCCTCTGGCGCACTTTCTCCAATTATCAGAACACATTTTTAATCAGGCTTTCCATGTAAATAGTAAGCACCCAAGCTCTAGTCTGAAACATCATAAAATAAAACTTCTGAAGCGTATAAAACAAAAGGGTGTATAATCTAAGAATTTTGTGTCTGGAATAAAAATCAGAACTATGTAGATAAATTCTATACAATTCGTCTAAAATATACTACCTTTGTGATAAGTCTATGATACATTTAAATTAAAATGGACTATTTTTCTTCAAAGCCTTTTCTTCAATATTTCGTTTATCCAAGGCTTTAAATGCAAAAAATATTTTCTTTTAAAATATACATAATGAAAGATTTCTTACCGGTCTTTTTTGGTAAATATTTGAACTCAATTGATACAATGATATTCTTCTCTATCTAAAATTTGATCTATGACTATGTATCTGATGACGTAATTGTATTGCTAGATGTTGTCGACGTGGTGGGGGGCGGGGGAGGGGAAGTACTACTTCCTTGAGTGTCCACATTTTCATTTTCTGGTTCTGAGATTCCACTTGCTGCTGAAATGCCATCTGTTGGATTCGAACCTCCGACTACAAACCGTATGCATTTCTTTTTCCGCCTGAAAATAAAAACAGTTAAGAACAAATCGAGTGATTACCATATGTCCTCGATTAATATTTCCTTCTAATACCCCCCCCCCCCCCCCAGTTAGAGGTGGCAAAAAAATTAATAAGTCTCCAGCCTCTAATAAGCCCCCTACTCTAAGGAACACTGTGGTCCCTTTTCTTTGTGGAAGTCATTTCACCTGTCGAGATTATACATAAAAGTATTACAAATTTCTAAAGATCAGCAAAATTTATTAAGCTCTCGGCCTCTAATAAGCTCCCACTCTAATAAGCCCCCATTCTAACAAGTCCCCATTCCAATAAGCCCCCATTCTAATAAGTCCCCATTCTAATAAGCCCCCATTCTAATAAGCCCCCATATTCTAATAAGCCCCCATATTCTAATAAGCCCCCATTCGAATGAGTCCCCATTCGAATGAGTCCCCATTCGAATGAGTCCCCATTCTAATAAGCCCCCATTCTAATAAGCCCCATTCTAATAAGCCCCCATTCTAATAAGCCCCAGTCCAAAACCACTGAAAAGGAAATCCGACAGGAGGTTTAATAGAGGAAATACAGTACTACTAGTAGGTAACATATTAGGTCATATTCTGCTAACAAAGAGTAATTCCATACTTTTCAGAATATTTTTATCTCAGCTGTCATATTAAGTCATGTAGAATATAATGACCTAAGTTGCATGTACGTCTAACAAGGTATGTATGGGAAGATGAGTAGTGACTGTCAAGGAAAACAAAGATGTACTATTCAAATCTTAGCAGGAGCTATGAACAATATCAAATATATTATTTTCTTACCGACATGGTTTGCACCATTCATTTTGTCGATCTAGTCCATATCTTGCTCGACACTTTTTGGGATTTGTTATTTCTGGGGGGGAAAACATACACACATTTAATGTTGCTGCAGTAATTATTGTGAGTAGATTACAAGAGATTGTTCTAAACACCACCAAGATTACACTGGTTTCATGAAAAGATCCAGGAATCTTAGAAGGGTTTGAGGGATTTGGCATTAGACAAATCTCAACTCCGACTAGACTATGCAAAGCGAAGGGGTATGCTTCCAGTGAAATTCTTAAAATATACAAGGGCGGATCCAGGGGGGGCTAAGAGGGGCTGAAGCCCCCCTTCAGCAGAAAAACAAAACAAAACAAAACTAAACTGAAGAATTAGATGCTTTTTTTATTGTTTTCTGTTGTGTTGACGGAAGAAACTCAATTAGCCCCCCCCTAAAATTTAGGCTGGATCCACCCTTGATATAATTTCCACAAACGCTATTTCCTGTGTTCTGGGGAAAATTTCATAAATATAGAAAAGGTATACAAAGTTAATCGCAAACTTGTTAAAGAGGGCCCTGTTTTGCTAAGACTAGATGGAAATCAAATGCAGTATCTCATTTGCATTTTATGGTGCTCTGCATACAGTACCTTGTGATTTGTCTCTTTTTCTTTTCTTTTTCTTGCCCTGTTGAGCATAATTATCCCTTGCACTCCAGCCTGGGTACAGCTGCATGTGTAAGGCTCTTTCTTTTCTTGCCATTTCATAATATTTTGCTTGTTCGGCTCTTTCTAGTGCATGCCACTGAAACGAAAAAACAGGAGCACAATGGGTGGTTTCAGATCTCAACAACTAGTTCAGTAAAAGCCTGTACTGAAGATATTGCTAGTACCGAAAACCAAATATTAGTCTAGGCAGCGACAGCAGTGGGTTTTACCCCTTCCCTCATTGACCCCCTATTTCTTGGGGCTCTAACCCCTTCCCCCTCATACATCCTACTTTGAAATCAGTGGCTCATGCTACTGCTTTTGAATGATTTGCTTTAATAATACTGAGAATTAAAGATTTTGCTATCAAAGTGATTCTTAAACCAATACTATTTGAAATCCATCACTGAAATATCCATTTCCTTTGTAATGCATTTATTAGTTAATAAAGGTATTTAAACTGCACAATTCCCACTGACATGTACTTTAGGATAGTGTAGTACATCTTGAGTGTGTACATCTCAAGTGTACTACTACGTGCATATGGTTGTATTGCAAGTATAGGCTGATATACTGATGAAACTGTTGGGGCTACAGCACAGTTAGCACTGTAGTGTGAATCAAACATCAAACAAGACATTTTGCATATATAACATGAGACTAGAATTGAAGTGTTCAAATGATATCTGTCAATAATAGTATTAAGAGAGAATTCTTTTCRTATTCAAGCAGTGAGCRCCAAAAACTATTTTCTTGAAGAMAGGCTGTTGTACAAGGCTAAAATCTYGTTATTCAGAAAGTTTAGCTTGTTTGGAAGTGGAGATGACCGATGAAAGTGGAATCAAAGTGTTAACCCAAAGCAAAAATTTTATTCGAAAATGAGGTTTAGGCCTTCATTTGCTTATTTCCCATATATTTTCTATAAAAAAAGCCTGACAAAGCAACATTCTAACATAAATGAACAAAACATCTTTGTACAATTGAAAATACCGCTTCAAACAGGCATTTTATCATAGTACATCAGCTTCTAACTGTTTAAAAAAGGTTTTGAGCGTTAACCCAAAACGAAAATTGGGATCAAGACTCATACGAAAGTCTAGTTTTTGGCGCTTTTTGCCATTATCATTGTTCATTCTTGAAAAAAATTTCCTCTTAAAAAAATAAGGAAAACAAAGAAATGTAAATTAGTAATTCATAAAGAAATTGTCTCACCAATATTTAAAGGTAAATATCTCTATGATCATATTTAAAATCTTCAAGATGTAAGATCTCAAAAAGGCACTTTTGTGCTAATGTTTATTCACTGTGCAATTGCAATATCCAGAATCCTTTGCAATCAGATAATTACCCATGATGCTTTGTGTTTTCCCGCTATTTTACAAAAACTTTATGGTGGGAGGAAATCTCTTGACTATCTAGGAAATCCTCTTTTCTTGCATAAAATCCCCAGGAATCTACACCAAACATGTCTTAAAAGAGTGAGAGTGGCTCAAGAGATGAATTATTTATACCCCAGCAAGGCAAAGTCTTCAGTAGAGGTAAATATTTATAGATAATTGTATAATTTCTATAAGTTTTAGTAAAAATATTTTTCTCTGAATTTGTTAGCATAAATTAGTATAGGAAATCCCACGATCTCGAGTACAATTTGGAAATTAATAGACACTTGTAATGTTTTGAAAGTTCTTGTAATTGCACGAGCCTTTAGGCGAGTGCATATAAAGAACTTTCAAACATTACGAGTGTCTATTAATTCCAAATTGTACGAGAAGATTGTGTGATTTTTTTGTTTATAGTTCACTCAACAAAATTTCAGTAAAGAATGCGAAGCGACGCCGTTCATCTTTGTCTATTTGGCGGCCAATTTTCGGTCCATCGCGCAACTGAAATGCATAAAAAAAATTAGTTCTTACGGCTTTAAAATTTTATTTATATGTTTTTTAAGTACAAAATGATAGAAAATAATTGTTTTGACATTGTTTTGGCCGTGTTGCCATAGCGACTTAATTCGGTACTCCTACGGAGTACAATTAACGCTATAATTGTACTCCTCTCAACCAATCAGAGTCGAGTAATTTTGTTGAGTGTACTATAAAGATTTTAATAGTTTATATTGATCAATCAATTAGAAAAGAAAAATTTTACCCAACAAATCTCTGAGGTAGCCTTGTAAATTAGTTGTAAAACATGAAGGTTATTTTACAGACATTGAATTGAAGTCATTTAGTAAGCTCTCAATCACATGCACATCTTCAGGTCAAAGCACGATTTGATATCACAAGCTAAGATATTCTTCTGCAGACTGATGTTCAACAGCTATTTCTATACTGCATAGGTGACTTTTATTCATTAACTTTGCGCTTTGGCATTCCCGTCACTGTAAGGCTACTTAAGATTAGGTTATAAAATTATCACGCAATTCACAAATTATTTAATTGAATAATTCAAAGATGCATATGATGACGCAACTTAAAAATGTTGTATGCATTACTGTTTCATCAAGAGAACTTCAAAGCTGTAGGGGGGAAGTTGTTTTAATTGTACAAACTAAGCTGAAGTACTTGATGAAATAATCATAAATGTATTCAGAACTAATAGAAATTTTTAAAATTAACACAGCTATATTATTTCTAATTCTTTAGTACTGATGGTTTGCTTTTCTCTCACATAAAAGCTTAAGTAATGATCAACTTTGATTATAGGATGTTTTTAAATTAACTCATTATGGAAAAGTAGTGTTTTTAATTATTTGATGAAAGAAACGTCTTTCACTCTTTTTGACAGTATTGCTATGGTAACACTTTATATCTGATTAGCTCAATCAACCTTCTGACAACATTCACAGTATTGTTTCTACATGGGGTAAGATGTTGCATAACCTGAAAAAATTTCATAGTTTGAGTTCGACTTTTTGAAGTTATAAAGGTTTTTCCATGTCAAATGCTAATGCCGTGACGTATGAGGAGGCATTTAAGGTTGTTTGTTGTTCCTTATAATTCGAAACACCGGCTTCTATATGAAAACTAACTTGCAATAACTTCTATAAGAGGAATGGAGAAAACAATGACATATTTCAAATTTAATTCAATGCAAAATAGACCTGCTAAATGTATTTTCCATAGGTTTTTCTGCAGATAATACATTTGTGTCACTCAAAGTGACAAACGAGATGGAAATATGGGTGTGGCATTGGCAGCTACAGCACCGTCTCTCACCTGTGAAGTTTACACCTGGGGTCTCAGGTTTAAGTCCTAGCTGAGTGCATATATGTGAGTTCAGTGTGTTTGATGTTTTGCTCTCTTCCTTGTCGAGAGTTTTTTCTTTAGGCATGACAAGAAATTAAGTTTTAAACCCACTAGCAAAAATTTCAAAGTCACTAGAGATCACTCATGGCAAATAACAAACGTTACTTCATGCAGGTTCTAAACTTTCCAGTCCTTCAATTTCTGGACTGTGGTCACACTCGCAAAAACTTAGCTGGCTAAATACAAAATTTTACTTGCACCTTGGGTGTTTGGGAGCGTTAATTTTTTGCTGCCAAGCTAGTGCAGCTGGTTTTCTTTACCTTCGTGCAAATTACATGTAAGTTGAATGTTGTGTGTCATGAATAATAAATGTAGTGGCAGTGCATGTAGAGTAAACCTCATAAAAGAGCCCCATGATGGGAGTGTTGGTTGTAAATATATCTAGGCTTTATAATAAGCTGCTTTAATCTTTCAAAAGCAGAGTTCAATCTTCATTCTTAGTTAATGCAAAGTATTAAATATATTAATTTGGGCAAATAACAAGTTAAGAAGGAATTTGTTTTTTACATGTCTGGTATCCTTACAAGTGTATAAGTGTTAAATAAGTAATTTTCACATTAATAAGTAGCATTTAACTATCCCTTATTTATGTTATATGTTTAAGATATTAATTTTTCTATAAATAATAATAACTCCTATTTATATATATAGCACTGCACTAAGTTAATAGTTAACAATTATTCTCCAAAGACGAAGTAAATGTTGGTGAATATTTACCAAAACGCAAGTCTTTGAGCGGCTTGGTAAATATTTCCCAATATTCACTGAGCCCGAGGCAAATAATTGTTTTAGTATTCTTAATACAAGTGAATTTTATAAATAATGTAGAGAGAGTTTTTTTTTTTTTTCAAATTTTATTTATCTCTGCAAGTGGCACACATTGACAAATGAGTGTGCATGTATTATTCACCTGTAGGTGAATATAGCAGCATGAGACATAATCGTGACCAATGAGCATGCCAGATTTATCATATTCACTTGCGTAAAAACAATAATGTCAATTATGCAGCAGAAATAATCAAACTATAATAATAATATACATTTATAATGTGCTTATTAAAAGAAAATTCTCTAAGCGCAAAAATAAAGAAATCGTAAAGAGAAAAAAAAGATACTTGGTTAATGCTAAACGCAGATTTAAATAAATAAGTTTTCAATTTAGACTTGAATAACAGCTGTTGATCCATCTTGAAAAACTATCATTATGTAGAAAATTGTTGATTTAATAACAATATCAATTGAAAAGCCCTTTTCACAATAAAAAAAAACATTTTACAAGAAAATGTTTCCTAAAAAACTCTTAATTGGCATAATTATTCCCAAGTTCAAGTTCAACACAACTGATAGAATATTTATGTCATGTATATAATATTGAGAAGAGAGTGCAGCTGTTTATCTGTTTGTTGCCACCAATTGAATATTAACACACTACTATAAATATATACCCAACATCTCGTACAGGTAGCTCAAGTTCCCACTCCTTAAGTGGGAAAGACAGGAAAATCTATAGAAAATACTTTCTCAAGGTCATGGTAATTGACAGAAAGCCTTTCCTAAAAAATGTAGTTCCAGAAAATATTCATGCCTCCTCACGGAGGAATGACCCCCCCACTCCCCTTCCCTACCCCCAGAAATTCCAATTTTCTTCTATACAAACTCTGTAGTTTTGTTCTTTCTCTGACCCCCCTACCCTTAGGAAAAACCAAATTCCTCTGTGGGGTGGGTATGGATAATTTCTTGAGCCATACAATATTTATTCTGTATTGGAATTATATATAAATATGAGCCTGCAAGAGTTATAGGACAAAGAAAATTTTAGAGCCAGCAAAGGCGATAGAAAATGTTTTTTAACTTGGAGATTTCCATGATCTATTGCTGGTTTTCAACCATTCCCAAGAGAATTAAATAACAAGACACAGTGGCCATGTTGGAGGATATAACAAGAATTCATTGACAGTTCTTTTGTTAAGTTCCTCCAACGTGGCCGACGTGAAAACCATCAATACATTGGTGGAAGGTGTGTTAATACATAGATCCCTATAGAATATGCACAACTAACCTTCTTTCCCAGTATCTGATTTATCGCAGCACTTTCCTTCAAGGTGCATTCTGCCACTACTTTGGGCCTCATGTCTTTCATGTAAAGCATGAATGCATTGAGAGGCTTTTTGACGTGGGAAAGTTTGGAGTCTCTTCCATGGTCTAGAGCGTCACTCATCATGGCCGTTGTATAAGACCTGAAGAAAAACAAATGTTTTTCTAATAAGACTTCCTGTTATCATTAATACCTGCTTGGAAAACTTGAATGTCAACAAGAGTTTTGATTTATAGCGCACTGCAAGGCTTAAAATAATGGCCATTCAGTCAATGGACATGATCACAGGCCAAATTAGATTTCCCTCAGTCATACCTCATTTCTGGCTAAACATTACTGGTCAAAATAATTGGCAAGGCAAGAATTTGGCTGAACAAGTCTCAGTTATGGCCGGACATTATCTGATGTCCAGCCATTATATCTTGCACTGGAACATCCATATGGAGCACTATACAAGGACTACTATTATTATTAGCTCAAGCAACCTAAGGAATCGAACTTAGACAAGAACCTAAAGGCAACTACTCTGTTGCATGAATGAGAAACTGAAAAGAAATTGAAAAAAATAATAAAAATGTTGCTAAATTTTTGAAAATTCACAGTGTTTTCCCAGGAAAACTTTGCAAAAAAAAAAGAAAGAAAGAAAAAAAGAAGTTTTTCATGAATCAAAGATAAAATACTTTATTGTTACTGTCATTCTACTCTAACCATGAACACTAGAGTTTGTCAACAAATCAGATTGTGAATCGAAAACAACAGAATTCGAGTTACATGTAATGAAAGTCTTTAATTTTTTTTTAATAATTCAAACTGGTTAAAGCTGTGCTCTGGGGTCACATATGGATAGCAGCTACCAGAGGCACCTTCACATGCTTTCAGTTCAACCCCGTTGAGCCGCGCCACTGCTGTACTTGCAGCAGTGATAAGCGATGACAAGTTTTTTTTTTTTTTATAAAGCTATTCTAGGAGATGAAATGATAAAAGAGAAAGAAAGAAATATAAGTATATTTACACAAATAAAAAATAAAAACTTGAGAGTTCATGGTTAGACTAAAATGACAGTAAACATTTAGCGATAGTATCAGTGATAAAACTGTAAATAAAACCTTGAGTGAAGTGATATCACTTCACAGTAAACTGAAAATTGTGTTATTGACCTAAATGTGTAATAAACAAATTATTACGTGTTAAGAACCTGCATAATATCGTTTTTATTCATGATCTTACATGATATCATAACCAAGCAAATGAATGATATAATATAGAAACTTGTGAATATAAATAATATCAAACTCTTAACATGCGATAATATCTTGATCTATTTATAACACATTTAAGGTTGATATCAGTATGATGAAGCCACGATTAAAAAAAACCATATCAGCGAAGGGATACAATATCACTTCACAGTAAATTATTTTATCTTATCAGCCCAAATAGTGTGGACTTGCTTGTTCATGATATGATATGAAAAATCATGAATAAATACGATATCAAGCTCTTAACATGTGAATGCATTATTTTTACATGTTTTATCACAAGTTTTCAACCAGTGAATTGAGCTACCTAGTTACCATCCTCCTCAGAAAACAGGGGGGGGGGGCAATTGATAATGATCTACGCACACTAAGCTATGATGTAGCCACATCTTACTTAGATGAAAATATATTGCATGTTAATCTGCAAGGCAAATCATGAAGGTTCTATGAACTAGTTATGAAGCATCAACATCTTATTTATATGGAAACATATTGAATGTTAATCTGTAAGGCAATCATGAACCTTCTATGCACTAGTTATGAAGCATCAACACCTTATTTATATCGAAACATATTGAATGTTAATCTGTTAGGCAAATCATGAAGGCTCTATTCATTAGTTATGAAGTAGCCAAGTCTCATTTATTTGAGAGCATTTTTATCTGAATTGTTGATTTGATTAGTGACTTAATTGAGTGAACGATAGAAGCTGCAAACATTACACCTGACGTATATAGCTTAGGGTAAGCATTACATAATGTCTGGTCAGATTTGGAACTTGTTCCAGTCAAATCTTTGCCTTGCTAACATTGAGCCAGAAACATGTTATAGCCAAGTTAAAACTAATTTCGCTGATCATCATGATGGGCAACTGACAAGCTGTTTTTCTTAGTCTTGATAGCTATTTGTGTAGTGCCCATCATTTAGGGAAGTTTTTGCATGACTGTGAAAAGCTCACAGCATGTACACGGTTGTTACGTGGCAAGGAATATGCCAGACCAATCACATTGCACAAAAATTTCCAATTATATACCCTGAGCACAGCATGAAGGTGGCATGCACATGGTCCAGACAAACCATGCATGGGAAATAATCAGCCAATCAGCATTTTAGAAAACATCACGGTCATGTCAAGACACACATACAGCATCAAGCTTTTCATAGTCACATGAAACTGTTCTATAAGAGGTAACATACTTTCCAGATCCACAAGATGGTGGCGCCCTGGTGATGACGCTATGGTTTGGTGGTGGTGCAGGGCCACAGTGAACCCCTGACCTCTGATCCCCAGTCATTGTAGGGTGCGTTAGTCGTTGGATGCCTGCTGTTGTTGGGTTAACAGGCGGAGGGTAGTTTGGATGATAAGCAGAACTTTGTCCAATTATGGCTCCATGGGGTTGCCTACGACAAATTAAATTCATTAACATATATACAGGTAATAATGAATAGGCAATAAGTGGAAGATCTAAGAATAGATGAAATGACTTAATAATAATGACTTAATAAATAATAATAATAATAATAATAATGGCTTGTGTTTCTTATCATTCTTGTCAATAACACAGAAGTTGTTGATGAGATATTTAGTGTTGTTTGTTTGTAGAGGAAGAAACCATTAAAACACCTTTATTGTGCTTAGACGTATTCCTTTAAGTCATGCAATCACCATTTTCCTCATTTAGCTGATAAAGCTGATTGCTGATGAAAGCCATGACAATGATAATTTATGCATATAAGAAGTCTGGGTTTTGGCTTCCACGATCCAAAAATTACCAACTTGGACCATTGAAAAATGAATTAATGGCAACCAACAACCGGAGTGTCTAGAATCAGATCTTGTTGTCTTGGTTGCATGAAAATGGCTATTCATTATAATATTTTCACTGAATAGGAAATTTTAGTTGCAAGAAAAATCCTGGTTATCACTGATTATCTGTGTAACAAATTTTAAATGTCTATTTGCTCATCAAATGGGGCATTATGTAAAAAAAATAAGGTAAGGTAGAATAATAGAGAGAGAGATGAGAGAGGGAGTGGGTGAAGTTTTATAGAGGAGGCAATACAAAGCTTTGATACTTTCTATATACATATACTAAGTATATCAACTATATAAAGGATCAATCCTTACCATAATGGAGGGTCATAATGATACCTTTCAGCTTTAATGCTTGGGTATACAGTATAGGGATATGGACCTGGAGGATAACCTTGATGTGCGGGATGGAATACAGGAGACTGTGGCTGTCCTCTTGAATGGGACTTGCTGTCACTCGAGTGTTGATTTCGATGGTAGTTGCCATGTCCTGGAACAAGGTGTTCATTATATTTGTCTGGGAATGAAAGCAATTGTGCTATAGGTGCTGAACTAGCATCAGTTGGGGTTTTAGGTTCCTAGAAATATAAAAAAAGCCRAAAGATAATTCACTACATCGACAGAACTAGGAACTTCCAAAAGGGGTGATGAGACAATCTTGATGAAATTGTATTACATACACAACGACTTAATTAGGGTAAAATCAAGTCACAGAACAGAATCCTTCACTAAAGGGGCTACCTTCCAGGGCCATAGTAACCCTCCCCTACAACTGCTTACTGCTCTAGGCATAATTTTTGTATACTATGACCACCGTCGAGAAATTGAAGGACTGAAAAGCTCAAAACCCGCATCAAAGTTTGATGCCGATTGATCGGTAGCGGCTTTGAAATATTTGCTAGTGAGAACAAAACAAAACTTACTAGCAAGGTTTTGATAGTGGGTTTTAAATTGATTTTCATGCCCTGGATCCTCAAAACGTAAACGTCTGGATCAATTGGTCTCCTGCGGCATTTTGGAGCACAAACTACACAAACATCAGAAGTAACCCCAGGTGCCAAAGTTTAATGTTACAGAATAGCTACCTAGCTATAATTGCTTGAGGGGAATAGGAAAGACAAAAATAAAGGTCTGTCCCTTCAACATTTAAAAATCAACCACCTTTTTTCTCAATATATAAAACTTTGAAAGCAATGTCCATGAAAGAGTAGACCTGACGAATCCCAGTGCTATACTTCATCATAGAGATAGAATACTCAATACACGTTTAATATAGACAATGCAGAGTGTTAAAGTGTTTATTTCTGGTATAGAACTATTACTGATGGTAACATACATTTATAGGATTAGTATATTGATAAACCATATCAATCGTAAAATAATAACAATAGAAAGAGGTTTGATTACTAAGAGCCGAGATTTTAGGCCGTGTTAGTAAAAATCTTCAATTCTTTTTTTCAGTTAGTTAGACTGTAATATATATTCAATACTTTGGAACAGAATAGTGTTACTTATACTCTAGAGAAGAGCCTTATAAATTCAAAGCTTTTTATTTTTTTGTTCTATTAGCAAGGTATATATATCTAAGAATAACACAATGACTCCTGGGGATTGTTTGTAAATTTGAACGTTCGTTGATCTATGAGCGATCTTAAAGACGGAACGAGCCATAAAACATTGTCTAAGTATTTAGATCAAAGCAAGTGTTACAATTATTTATTGCCATTTTTCGAGGTCAAGTGTGGCTTTCAAAACTATTTAAAGTGCGCAACATTACGCGGGATTGTTTAGACAAATCGGCTGAAAAAATCCAACTTTGTTAGAAAAGTCATAACAACAGGACTTGAAAATATTGTTTGTTAAAGAGAAAAGGCTGTGAATATTTTTCAAAGACGGATGGACGCTTTGTTGCGTTACAGACGCCGAAAAACCCAAAGGGATTGTTTCCTAACTTGGTGCAGGAAGAAATATAAAAGGATGAATTAGTAAAATTGGCGACTTGTGGACGTCGCACATCAAACAGGAATACCCGTTTTTTGTTGCTGTTCTTAAAGGTCGTTTGTAGGTAAAGAAAGATCTATTGGAAATATTCAATTTTGTTTAAATATTCAACAAAGAAAGTTTTGACATCAACCTACGTAAAAAGGAGAGAATTGACAAACAAAAGGGTGTAGTTTTTCCTGGCTTTACTACCGAAGGAGTGAAGAAAATACTTCGAGTTTCAATAAAAACGACCCAGATCAAATATGAGCTAACACCTCGAGTTTACAGAGACATTAACTTTATTGTTTGTTGTAATTTTGCAAAGTGTTTTCTACTTTGAAAAACCAGCCAACCTTTGCAAGGCTCTTGAACTATCACTTTACAAACCATATCGAAAAAAGTTACAGTATAATAGAGACATTACGGCCTTAACGTTTCTACTTAAAGCTCCCTTCCTTGATATATTTGCAGTTTTTTTTCACCTGTTATAATGTACCTTTTGCTTTGCTTTAGAGGTTAAAGAATGTTATAAAAACCAGAAAATTATACCATTAAGAAGAGTAAAGGTAGAGTTACTGGCCTCCTGGAACGCTTAGTATAGTCAAACATTTGAGTTAATGGAAGGTATAGAAAAAGATTTTCCTTGACTTTATAAAAAGAAAAACCGGAAACAGCCCGTTTGAAAGGGAGTCAGCTTTGGAGCTTGAACCTTTTCGTCAAAATGTTACGAGTTCTGATGCAAGATCATTGTAATTATTCTCTTACTTTCATTAATTTTGTTTTAACAGAATGTTCTTCTAAATGAAATATTTGCGAGTACGAAGGAATTAAGGATTTTACGTCGACCAATGCTGTAGATAAACGACTCGTTTGATCACATCGAATACAGACATAGATGGCAGGAAAAACGTTAATAGGGGAATTATATCTTCATATGGTAGTAAGACAATACTTCTAGATTGAGAAGAGAAAGGATAATATTAAGTATCCCTTTATAAATGAATGAAAGCTAGGATGAAAAAACTTGAATTAAAAGGGTCCTACAAAACTTCCTGAAGTATATAGCCAACAAGACGCAAATATTCCTAGCAGCTCTCTCAACAAATGCGTGGATTTTTGAGAGTATATCACGAGCAGAAACAAGGCCAACAACAAGAAAACCCATTTAATAATGAAATTCGATCTAGCGCGGTAATTATGTGTTAAAAGACCACTCGGAATAGACCAACAGAGTAGGATATGAAACGATCGCACGGGTCCCTTGTCCTACATAGGTGTAAGGGATGATTAGTTTACTAGAACACTACCGAGACCATAATCCAAGCACTCTTGAAAACCAAGAGTTTGTTGAGCTTTTGAGCAAGATCTTACTGTAAGCATGGAAAAAATCGAGCTGGTCTGTCGGTCGGCTAGCGGAAAAGCCGCTCCAACCAACTGTCGGCATCCTTTGACTTCCAGTACCGCGAACACAGAAATTTTGAACTTGGAGCTCAGAAAAATAACTTTGAAAGGCCGCAGTGAGCTGAAAGTTGCAGGTATAATAGAGATCACTTAGCAGAAGTCTCTGGCAAAGTTTGGGGTCTGCTGGTTGAAATTACGGCACGCTACGGACAAAATGCAGGAGTTTATTTACTATTTTGTGAAACAATACGATTCTATTGCCCTTCACTTTTGAGTCTTGCCGCTCACCGAATGTGGAGTCACACTGGAACGATACACTTTGGAAATGATGGTTTATATTTCTCGAAACTACTCGAGGCAGTAAAGAAATAGCTAGGAATGGCAGTGAAGCACTGTAGATGGAGGGGAAAATGTATAACTGTACCGTACCTCTTGATGTTCGGCCTCTTTCTTGATGAGATCTGTTTTGATGTCATTGACTAGGTCTAAAGTGGCACCATTTTCGTTCTCCTCCCCGTCTTCGTGCTTATATTCTTTGACTTCATCATCAGCACCAAAATCATCAGTTGAGTTCCGAGGGGGCTGAGGCATTTTAGCCTCGCACACGTGGAAGAATTCTCGAGAAAAGTCCTTCTTAAAGTTTTGCTGTTGCCTTCTCTGGCTCAGTGTGTTCGTTGTGTGTAGGAGCTATGTAGACAAGGCGGCACTTCAAAGGCTTTCTTCAAAGGCTCGCCGCCTCCTGATTGACAGAAATTAATCACACAATCACTCACAGCGACCAATCAGAGATCACTAAAAGCAATTATGCGCGTGCGTTGTTTCCTTCAGTCTTGATGTTCGTCCAACCCCTTAAAACCGGTTTATCGTCCCATTATATAAGCTAAATTCTGTTTTCTCCGCTTAGAAAATATCCATATCCTGAACTTAAACACTAAGATATTTCTTCACAATACAAAGGCTTGATAACTGAGTAAGATTCAAAGTAAAAAGAAAGAGTCTTAAAGAGGAAATGGCTTGTTTTGTGACTCACACTATTTCTATGTGAATAAATAACTTTGCTACAATGATGTTGTTGATCATACTAATATCTTCTTCGAAATTGCTCTTTTGTGTTTTGGATTTTGAAAACAAACTGAAATGACTAGTACTGGACGTCTTGGAAAAAATTATGAGAATTGATGTGGATTCGATAAGATGGGCTTTGAGACGATAACTAGGTACGTGACTTTTCAAATAGTATTGTCAGGGTCAAGCGTATGACGACATGGATAACTCATAGAAGGAAATACCATCATTTTTTCTTGACCACGCTTTCCGCAAACTATGTGCTTTTATCGCACTGAACGTGTCTTAAGCTGATATTGTACTGCTTTGTTTACTTCACGTTTTATGAACATAACAAATTTGTTTGAGAGCGTGTCATACATCACTGTTCGTTCAGGAAGAGAACTTCAATCCAGATCAGAACAACGCCAGTCAAACGAACACGTAAACTACTTAAACTACTTGACTGTTTTTTTTTCTCGCGAGTGTTTGTAAAAGACCAGGATAGTAATTCCAGCAAGGCAAATTGAATAAGGGAATGTAAAGTAATGTTGGTTGGCTCACTTCGATAACAAATAAACAACTTTTTTTGTCACATTTTGTTGAATATAAATACTGCTACACTTTTTTAATATCGAAAACCAAGAGAGCGTAACGAAATTACTCCAACCCCATACAAAATGTAACTGTGAATAACCTTAGCGTCACTCAAAAATAACCAAGTTAGCTCTCTGTGACAAAGAAAACACAATCTCATTGAAACAATATTAAAGAAATTTAAAACAAGACCGAAAGTATCTCAAAAGAATAATAAATTTGGAGTCGAGACTCATGCAGGTATCGATCATTGTATACCGCTGTGTTTGATGGACATATGACTACAGTACATTGATATTATTATTAAATATTTATTATTTTTTCGCTGGATCAAAAGGTAATTATAACCAGGTTAAATGATCAACTGCTGGTTGAGCTGTTTTCAGCTGAAGTTAGTTATAATTATTTTGTTATATAAAGTGTGTCATGGAGTACGTCCACAAACGTTCCGCTATTGGCAAGTACCCAATATAGACACGGGTGAGGTTACTTGTCCACAGCGTTTTGAGGAAAGGGAAAAAAGAAACTCAGAAAGAGAGTCTGTAAAGTGAAAATAATTAACTGATCCCTGGACAGAAATGTGCCTCACAGAAATCAAGTGCCAACGAAACCGAATGCCTGGAAATGTGAACATTGGAGTATTATTCTTCAATAGGAGCATAAAAAAATATTACCATTTTTGAAAAGGGAAATCAAAAATGTATGGAAAATTAAAGAAAGAATTAAAAAAAGAAAAAAAAAATCAAAGAACAAAGAGTAAGAGACATTTTCTGGATCTGAAAGTATATTTTAGTTCCAAAAAGAATACCGCCCATCGATAGCTGTCTTTGATCTTTGATTCGTTTCGGCACTGGTTAAAGGTTTTGGCGATCAAGCTGCTGAGCCGCCCAATTTACAGGCATTTCCCTCGTTTTTGCTTTAAAGTTTTTATCGTCACACCGCCAAAGACAAGGCTCCGACCCCTGCGATCCAAAACAGACAAAGACAATACCGGCTTACACCTGAAACCAAACGGCTCTTAACGTCATTAGCTCGGGCGCACTTCTTTAAGGTCACTATGAATATAATATACATATAAAGGGCTTCAGTCTGAGATTGTGTGCTCATAAAGCACTGGATGCCACTTGAAAACCTTCGATTGTTTACTGGTAATCTCAACTTAAAGTTAATGATTTGTTTGCTGTTGAGATGAACCGTTGTATGGTGAAGAAGACGCGATCATACCATAAACATAGCTATACAGCACCCCCCTCCCCCCCCCCCCCCCCCCCCCCCCGGACCCGTGCCGATTAAAAAAGGGATGACCTGCAAATGGGAGATCACTGGCACATCCTCAGGAAAGGACTTTGTATTGATTTTTCGTATTTGCAATAAAGCAACTAATGGGAAATATATTTTAGGTCTACAATGAAGCTTTCCTAACAGCGTGATAATGATTTCTTCCATGCATGATTTACGATTCACTGAAATAGTTTACCGATTTTAGCTGAACACGATATATTGTTTTCCAAGATGCACTTACTAGAATTTCTCCCTTGATCATCGTGTTGCCTTCCTCTCGCTTCGGTGAGCCTGTAATGGGTCCTGCCTCGATATGTTTGGCGTGGATAGATAATTAAACACGAAAGTAGATACTCCAAATAAAATTGAAGATCTGGAAGACAAGAAAAGTTTGCTATTCAAAGTTTCAGGAAAATTAGACCGCAAGACAACAGAGACATCGAAAGATCAAACAAGCCGCAGTGCTTAGAAAGCCGACTAATGTCAGAAAGGCATACGACCTTCAGAGAGGCCGCAACAGGGCTATCCGATCGCAATAAATATTGTTTATAGATTGTCTTTTGCGGCAACTAATAATCGTTGGCCTATGCCGCTTGTCATGTTCCTTGTCTTGAAAAATGAAATTAGAGTGAATGATTTAAATACGTGATCACGCGTGAATTCACGCGAATTAACGTAACGCTTTATCACGAAATTCCACTTCTATGTGACAGATATATCCTTCAAAATTTGGAATCACGTCTAATAGTGCATTGTCAAAATGAAAATAGTGTCAATCTAATGTGTAGGAATAAGTCAAATATTCCAAGCAAAGGTAACTCAATTGATTCATATAAAAACGGTCATCCTAATTGAGAAGATCTCTCTTCAGACAGAGTGGTGTTCAGAAATCCCTGATAAGGTCTTTACATCTTAAATGGGAAAAGACACCGTAATTGCCTAAAGATGAAAAATTAATGAGGACCTATAGGTGTTGGATATTTCTTGTAGTCTTAGGAGTAAACTTTCCGAAGACAGTCTGATTTAGAAGCCGAGTTTATTTGTGATAAAAAATTATAAAACCAAATTTACTACGAAACATCAAAATGTCTATTTGTTCAGCCTTGAGTTTTTTCGCAAATCAAATACAGATTATATAAAACAAAGGTCAAAAAATCAGTATTTTATGCCCGCTAGTGGTGGGTTGCTCTGGTTAGCTCAGTTAGTCTTGCCATCGATAGTTTCATTATCAAATATATCGACATTTCCCTCAAATTAGAATCTCAGTCTACAAAAAGAAAACGCTAGCCACAGAAACAAACAATTCACTTGTCTTTAACTTATATTTGGTCGGGATTTTTAACAATGTGAAATAGAATGATTATGAAGCAATAACGAGTTCCAATCCAAATTTCAAATTGTGATTTGTTGGGAAAAACCATGGAAAAGAAACGAAAGATAAAAGATATACTCCTTGTGACTTAATCTAAAGAATCGTCCAGCTATTAGTCTGCATAGATTCATAAATATATGTTATGGGTCGAAGTATCCAGTTCTTTTATATTTATTGTTATCCATTCAGGAAATCTTGGATGCGTTCTATATATTACTTTTACAAAAACATATTGCTCGTTACGAAAGATAAGTTTGGACCAAAAATTACACCTCCCCACCCCCCAAGAAATGATGAATACTATAATTTGTGTTCTGCTTTTTATAGAAGGTATATGAAGACAATTGTTCAAGACTTAGTATTCAGGCTGTACGAAATTTCTCTCTTTTTTAGCCCGAGAAACAAAATGAAAGCAAGCTAACTAGACGAGACATCAACCCCTTGGAACACTGAAGAAAAACCTAATTAGGCAAATAGCGTTAAATAACGGAAGAAAAGCTGATTGCTATTGACCCTTCAATGGAATATGGTCATCCTGTTTGGACCAAAACCTAAGTAGCTTCGATTACCATCACTTGTTTTAAGTTGAATAAAGTTTTCTTGTCCAACTGAACAATCTCATGTAAGGATTCATTTTAATTATTCCATTGGAGCATAGTTAATATGATTGGAGCCAACATGTTAAGAAAAACTCTTCGTAGAGAGTCGAAACCAAGTTAATATCAAACTGTTTTCCCTTTGAAACCTGGAAATATTATAACTGAACACTTAGAAATTGTAAAAACAATATTAGGTATAGACAGTCGTATACTATCTCGTCAGATAGCACATCAGTTAGGATTATGAAAGTCGAATATTAAAGACATTTGTGGCCATTGGAAGGATGGTAGAAGCTGCCACAACACATTGACTATTCCCAAGGAAATATTTCGTTTTTAAATATTAAGCAGTATGGCGCCGTATGTAGCATGAAAGTGCCAGGATTACATGGCCGATCTGTTAACTAATCCCCCATACCATTTGGGATTCATAATTATTGGGAACAAAAGCAATCAATGGAAAACTCGACACCACACGTTTTGACATATGTTTTACGGCTGAGGGTTTGCTTGCAAAATTTAATTTAGCTGGAAAGATATTTTAATTTTAATTTTAAATTGAAAAGAAATTGAGATAGCTAGCTAATTGTGGAGTTCTCACTGATTTTGGACAGATTTTCCCCTCTGCGTCGTATCAGCTGAGATAAGTTTAGGATTTACCTATGGTATAGTTCAACTCGTGCTCAATCTTAAACTACAGTACTCATTGTACACTCCATTTATCTATAATCCAACAGTGATATCGATAAACTACTCACAAGACAAATTCAAAGGACTCAACTTTTAATAGAGTATAACTGTATCGTTTTTCTTTCTTTTTGTTTTTTGTTTTCTTTTTCCTTCCAAAGTGTAACATTCAAGATCAAAGTAAAACAATGAATGAATAAACTCAGCCGAAAAGGTTTGATTTCGGATGGACAAGAATTAATATGGGGGTTTAAATGAGAATTTCCATTATTCACTGGAATTTTCTAGTGA